CCCCCCCTCTGCCTCTGAACCCCTCACCATCTAATCCTCTCAGGTGAGCTGTCTGTTCTCCTGAGCACCAAAACGCAAACTCCTGCGTCTCCCGAGACTGCCAGCAGCAGTCCAAGTCAAGATTTCGTGCCGAAATTTCTAAATGAATATTTTTTAATCTGCCTTTCTGCTCATTCCTCTTTTTTATTTTTTATTTGTTTACCTACCTCTCTGGTAGCTCTTCTTAAATGGTTATTTAACAATGCAGTTCCAAAAATAAATCGGAATGAAATGAAAACTGAATGAAAGGACATAGCAGAAATAGCTGTTTATTAGGAGTTTTATATTGACTTATACAGAATGCTATAAAGCATATAAAGAATGCTGTACAGGAGAAATCAGAAAATACACATATGTTTGCTCAACACACATATAACATTATATTTTGCACTGTCTCAATCCTTTCAAGCTCTCTCCTCGCCATTATTCGGAAAAAACGACTGGCTGGGAATTATCCCACAACAGGAGCTGGAGCACAAGAACCAACACTGAAAGAATCGGGTAAAGATTTGTACAGGGAAGAATTATTGTGTGATGGTTTCTCATGAGTAGCGATAAAGATAAGAATTTGTGTACGTAATAAGGAAATTCTTAGTCACCTTCATACTCTGTAAGTAAGATATATAATTGGTTATTATTATTTTGCCATCTTTCGTCAAAAGTCAAAATGACTGTGACGTCAAATATTTATTTCAGCTCAGTTATACGGAAGAAACATGAATGGTACAGTACCACCAAAATTATTTGTAAATGTAAAAGAAGAGCATGGGGGGGAGAAAAAATGCAGTTTTGAGTAATGAAGTAAGTGATGTCACATAAGACCACATAGTGTTGGCAAACTGTGGAAACAAGGTTTAAGAACATCTAAATCTGCTCTAAGATGGCCAGACCCCTTAGTCCTCTCTCTATGGGGTCTTATGGGCTACAGATAATTCTGAAGGGGCAAAAAGATAGTTTATCATCCAGACTCCAGCATATTTATAAATAAGTAAAGCTATTTATGCTTAATGATTTTTTTTCTTTCTCAAAATTCAGAATGAAAACAGTGAAGGACATGTTCTTGTCTTTCATCATTATTTTTCATTTGTCAAGCTAAACATTGGTATCCTAGTTAATTAACATTGAATGAGCATTTCAGTGTTTTGTAAAGAATCGTGAGGCATGAATATCATTGCAATGTATAAATTATGAGAAGGTCATTGCAGATATTTTATTTTAATCCTTTTCATTCTGATTTGGCCTACAAAGGGAAAGATACTGGCAATATGTATGGCTTGAAAATTCCTTCCTGTAATGTTGATAGAGTAAAGCTGTATCTGTAAATGTGTATATTTGAATGAAAGCTTTTCATTCTGCATTTCAGAGCAATAGGTACAGGAGAAAGGTGAAGCTATTCATTTCTTGTGAAAAATGGCAAAACACATGTTCAGACTGAAGTTTGTGGAGCTGAGTCAGTATTGCAAAAAGCCCTTAAAGGAAATTTTGTGCTGAGTGGACCTTGTATGCACCTTAGTTTAGTTCCTTTTAAAGGTGTTTTTGACATACATAAACCACCCACCCATCTGCAGTACTGCTTTAATGAACTAGGAAAAACAGTTTTGCCTCCTGTGTTTTAGAAGATAATAGAAGGCAGTTCCTCCAAGGATATTTACTTTTCAGAAATGTAAGTGGCATAGCTAGACAAAAGCTCTCCTACCTCTTCATTTTCAGTTGTGCTATTTAAAATCTTAATTTCTTAACTCCATGCTCAAGGGCAAAGGCAAATATAATGTCAACTGTTAATCACCTGAATGCACCTAGACACTAACAGAAATAAATATTGCATAGTTTAAACTAACATACCATTTAAAATATTTAATCAATTACTTAGTCCATTTTCACAATTCTAGGTGCATTCTGAAAGAAACAGTTTGTCTTCTAAAGTATGAGGGACGCTGATGGATGTCTCTATAAATGAACTTTATGCTGGATATAGGTCACCAACAAGTATACCTAATAAAATATATATGTGCCATACCTTCCCATATATGCAATTTGTTTATGTAGTTCCATACGACCTGAATGAAAGAAGAATTTTACTATCGATCATATTTCAAGGGGGAGTGGTGAAAATGTAGACTTCCATCCTGTCTCCACTACACCACTCCTGGTCAATGTAACACACACACATGTATCACAATGCCCACATCATATAATATAATAAGAAATAGTACTGATTTATGTACTGATTTATTGATTGTCATGACAACTAGAGTTATCAATAATTGTAAAGGAATCAAAAATACATTACAGAAAATACAGACAATTGTTACATTAACTCACAAATCTTACTTTCCATGGAAACTGGTGTTTTCACATTTCCACTGATATAATGTTTTACATTTCAGCAGGAGGGGAAGTGGTAGACGTACGAAAACAAGCAGTGGATGAAATGATGGAGAGGATTAAAAAGGGCATTCAACTCAGACCTGTTACCCAGGCTGCTAACAGGACTAGAGCAACACAGGTACTTCCATCATTTTGACTCTGTGCTGGAATTAAAAAACAGAAGCTGTAAGAATAAAGGGAATATTGGTTTGCCGTTTCATATTTGCTCATAACATCAGTTGAACTAAAAGTGATAGATTTATTTGACATTATAGCTTTGGTATGAGTAAGACATTGATCATTAGTGTTACATCAGCGTTCTTCCCCTATGTGCTGTAATTTTGAATTGATAATATGGGCATATTTGTGTTTTCATTTCTAGATGGAAAGGAAGCCATCTAATAGTGCTCTCCAGGAGTTGAAGGGAGTTCTGGTAATGTTGGATTTGCTGTCACTTTCCTAACTTTTTCATCCCACCATGTATGATGTACAAGAGAAAGCAACACTTTTTTTTGCAAAGGAACCAAGTTTCTTAATGATCATTTGGCTGCATTAATCTGCGAGGAGTGTAGGATTTCATAAAGGAACTCTTTTCTGCTTGACATTCAGATTGAGCTCTGTGGTCCAAACAGTGCCATTCTGAATCTAGACTGTCATTAGCTGGCTGCTTCAAAGATTTTCCAAAAAAAGCAACTAAGGACATCCATCTTTCCTTGCTTCGTGATCCTGGTGCCTATCTTGTTATCCATTTACAGGGTTATTAGTGAAAATTGTGAGTCCTTTCGTCGACGCTTTATTTGTCTGATATGGCACTAGTCTTTCAGGCCTACAGGGTAAAAAATGGTAGACAACTCACTATTGTTCATTTTGGAGGAAGGCATGCAGGTTATCTATATTGTGCTGAGATTGTGCAAGACTTATAGAAATGATCTAAGTTGATCTGACATTTTACAGTGTCAGTGTGGGATATCGATATAATTTTTGAATCAAAATGTAATTTTCTTAATCCTGGTACTGAAAGAAATGGTTTGTATATACAGTGAAAACAATGCAGCAACACTATATACAGTATTTGTGCTGTTGCAGTATTTTACAGGTTGGACAAAATAATGATAAACTCATATTTTAAAGTAAATTTCAAAGTATTCTACACATTTCATATTAATTTCGGTAATAACTACCAACATGTCTAAACTACATGAGAAAGCTAATGGAGTTTGAAAGAGGTCAGATGTTGGTGCCTGAACTGTAAGTATTACAAAATTGTTTTTTTGTATGCGTCTGTCTGATTAAAGCCAAAGGAAGCCTTCAACTCGCACTGCCTGTTCTAAACACGGTGGGATCCAAACGTGGTGGATCTGTTATGGTACGGTTATCCATCACATGGGAGTTATTGGATCCAATTATTACTTTGCATGGTCAATTACCATTGATTAATTTGTCCAATCTGTGTATATATGCATGCATGCGTGTAAACTATATGTTACATATTTGTTTTCAGCAAGAATAAACATGTATAATTATTGCAGGTTTTGACGGGTTAAAAGTTCTTGATTCCATGGGGTCTTACTATCTAGTTCTTTTGAAAATGTCTGAATATAACAGTTAACTATATCTTTATTTTAACCTGGTTGATGTTCTTAGTTTGACTGCACATATCGGCCGATTGCTTTGACTGCGTTGCCCATTGTTTTTGTGCTTACTTAGGACACAATGAAGATATCATCCCAGGCTCAGTACAGAAATGTGTCTAAGGTAAAGGTTGCACAGACTGAGCTGGAAAAGATACTACTAAGACGAAGGTGTGCGTGTGAACAGACAGAAGAAAGCCGTGAGTAAAATACAAAGGGCTATAGCATGTGGCTCTTATGGGCAGTAATATGTTTTTTAATTCTAGACTTCAATTTCCTTATTCTAAATTAATTTGATCACATTAGCCTCAAATAAATCCATTTACCAAAAAGCAGGAAGTCCTAATAAAAAGCTTGCAAATCATTTTTAACATTTTGATGATCTTAAAAATGTTTTTAATTTTGTAGCAATTGAATAGGAAAGAAACAGGTTAGTTTCTTAATTTTTTAACCAATAGTTCTGTAAAGCTTTCCAAGTAGTGTGCTCCAAAGTTGACAGGAACATCAGGGAAAGCCAGGGTATTGTTGTTTCTTAAACACTATGTGAATACGATTAATGGTGATTAGTGCAGTGAGCAGTTAGATTGTGATAGCATAAACCCTACAGATGGTGTTCTACTGTACTTTTATGAGAAATGTTAATCTTTTTATAAGTCTTAGACAAATATTTGAGTGCTGTGGTTTGTTTTAAACATGCATATTGCTGGGAGTGAGAAGAAGCTCTCCAAATGACCAGACTTGATTCATGTTATTGGTAAACCACTATTCCCTGAGTGGAACCTATTTTTTATGGTTTCTAGATGAGCTTCAATATTTTCTGACTGGTTAACTATTTCATGCATGCACAGCTAAACGTGTGAATGTTCACATCATCCTCACATCATCAACTCTTAGGTCAAAAGTGTTTTTTCTCATTTTTAAATTCCAGGATAATTTTAAAATAGCAGTGGCAAAGCTTTTAGATCAAATGGTTGTGAATACCTGTTTTTAACAGGTAACAGTTCTTTTCTCTACTTTACACTGGTTTTTGTGCCTCTTAAAAACATATATTTCAATGCATACTGTATAATGATTAGTAGTTTTCAGTTATTCTAAATTTTGTTAACCATCTAAATTTAAAATTATGAAAATCAAATAAAAAAACAGATAAAGACATTTGCTCACGTTTGAAAAATAAAAGTAATTGAAAACGTATTGTTTGCTTTGTGAAGGCTTGCAGTCGACTCAAAACCCGTTGCACAGCAGTGTCAGCGGTGACATTGACAGAGTAAACAAGACAGATCAGAATGCAGAGCTGAAAACGGGGGACTGGACTCAGTCCCATGGAGATGGAGAAACACACACCAGCATGCTGCCACTGCCTCTGTGAGTATACTGTAGCTACCGATGTGTTTTTAGTACTGCTGGACAGTGCACATAACAAACCAATGTTTAGTCATAAAAATGGCTACAAATAATCAGCAGCTTGTGGCTTTGTCGCTACTAACAAGGTTTCAACACAGAAGGTTTAATAAATCTTACATTTGAAGGTTTTTCCTCAGCTACTCATAACAGAAATCCACCTTGCCTTATCGCAGATAAGGGTTTTTCACTTTTAAATTGAGTTTTAATTTCTTCAACACAAACGGGGTCCTTCAAAGGGGATGAAACATCTTTGCTTTAAACATTTCTTCAATGCAGTGTTAGATTGTATGTACAGAAAACATCTTATAGCGGTAGAGCACGTCATTACTGAAGTACTGGGATCGTAAAATTAGAAAAAATATATTTTTTTATATGCCAGCTTTCAAAAGTATTAATTTGTAAAACTTCTGGATTTCAAAGTAAAGGCAAAATATGAATAAAGATACCCAGCATTATTTTTATTGTGTGGAAATGCAAAGGTGTATTTCATAGCCTTGAATGTTTGCCAAGCAATTGTGCCTATAAATTGGTCTGTCTAGGCCAGTTTTTAACCTTCTGAAAGCTTTCTAGTCTGTAATTACAAGGTCCTGTTTTTATAAATGGTAGATTTTTGTTTGCTGTGTCTTCTTGCATCAATTATGTTTCCTAAAAAGAAATAATTTTGGTATAAGATTTAACTCCCCCCCCCCCCACGGCAGCAGCAAAACAGTATTTTTTATGTCCCATGTAGTCAAACATATATATTAACATTTTTCATAACACAGTATAATCAGTATCTGATTTTACTTCTAGTTTACTTCCTCTTTATTAGAAATTGCCAGACTTCCAAGGCTACAGGAGGACAGCTGAACTTACTACAATATGTAAAGTACACTTTTTTGCACATGATCAAAAAGTAATTTAACATATTTACAGCTGTGACACAGTTTGCAAATAATCATTTAAAAAGCATGAACATTTCTGTTGTCTGTTATTTTTCCCAAATAAATGAATATTTCTAAATTGCCAAGAGTAAATTACACTTCTCTATGACTGTAGAATAGCAGCTCCATTTATCCCAGTTACATTTTTTACCCCTTTTTTTGACTGATCTACTGTGTTTTGAAGTTTGGCTCCAAATGTCCCCACTAATTGTACTGTTGCAAAGTGCATCTGTAGAATTGTGATAAAAACACACACTTATATACATAACCCTTTGTCATTTAACCTGGGAACAATTGAAATTATTTGAGCATCAAGTATTTTTTAAGAAGTGGATATCTGCAAAGTATGTGAAAATTTTCAGATGAGAATTAGGTTGAAAACTCTAGGTCCATGAGCTGTTGGCTTGAGTATTATTGAGTATTATTTGGGGACCAGGCTACTGTAGAAATCAAGAAGTTTTAAAATCCATTTTAAAATCCATTTTAAAATCCGCTTCAGTTGTACTTCCAGGTATGTGTTGCAGTGGAATTGAATTCAGGATCAATTTGTTGCCTAATAATGCCCTAGAGTCTGACAGAATAAGCTAGCAGTTTGGTTTTTAGTTTCTTCACACAGACTTCAGGCAATTTGTCTTATCTGAATAATAGGGAAAAAAGGAAGCAAAGAACAGGAATCAGGTTGGTGTGGCATTGTGCAGGGCATTAATTAAAGCTTTGAGTTTCCTGTGCTGTCATGTACAGCCTGCCAGAGAAAAGGGGGCTAACTTGTCCACGATTACTGAGGAAATTCAATTCTGATCCCTTCTTGTGTAAATGTTATTCCTGTTTATCCCTTGAATATCCCAGGTCGCTTCAATAAACTTGGGGGAGGGGGGTGGGTGGGGGGGCTGGTTTCACATCACGTCTGGATGTTTCATCTAATCAGAGTTGATGTTACAGCATCTTCTTCTGTCTGGCCCTTGGTAAATATGGAGGAAGCCACAAAATGTCAAAAGTAGGAAGGCCCTATGCACTCCTCCTTTCTTCTTTCACTAAATTTATTTTACAGCCAATTTGCCCTCAACAATGGCCTTGCATATTGAGGCCAGCCTGAGGGTCAGGGAGATTTGTGTGAACTGAGAATTCTCTCGGAAATGATTCATTGTGAACCAATGATGGGATATTTTATCCCTCCATTTTCTCATGGTGAAGAAAGATGAGGGTAAATTAACTTCAGAATGACAGAGGAGAGACTGTCTCTAAAAACCAGGGCTCTTTGAGTAAACTGTTTTAGATGAAGAAAGAAAAAAGACCTTTGTACAAATGGATGCTTATAAAAGCTGTCTGAAAAAGCTTTTAATGTGTTTAAAGCAGTGAACTTTGGGCTCTTTTAGCTGTTGTTAATTTAATATTTGGACAGGGTTATTTAATTTCCCATAGAAATATCTCGCACTTTAGTGAATACTGGACACTGAACAAGACAGGAATGTGACTACATACTATCAATTTTAGGCTTAAAAGCAAGTATAAGCTCAAAGGTACACATTCTTAGGAGTATGGCTTTCATGCATGTTTGCTCATAAAGCCTGGAGCCTATAATAATAAACACATGAATGAAAATTTCTTTTTTGCAAGACTAAACCAAACCACCTTGTAGTTCAGTTTTATTTTTATGCTATCTTTACATCTGTTCTAAATCTTTGCAATTAAATGTCTTTTTCCTGTCAGCCCTGCAATTTTAATCAGTTTGTAGTGGTCATTATTCTCCATTCCATCGTTTGTTTCATTTTTCACAAACTAAAACTCAGATTTAAACAAGTCCCCGTTTATTTTAGTTTATACTTGGTTTAATGCCAAAGAATTATGATTGATGAAAAGTGTGATAGTCAGATGTTATGAAACACTTTTTTAATACTGCTAAAGAGTCTGTGATTGAGTGCTTGAAAGCTCTGGTGAAATACAGTAAATTACACACTCTATTCTTCCATAAAGACACACCATGGAGAGACGCAGTATAAAATGTGTATTGATTGACAAGCTGTAAACATTCTGTCAATCCAGCAGTGCAGGACAGGCTAGACAATTATCAGGCAGAGCACTGCATTAATAGGGCCTATTTGTGATTTTTTTGCCAGTTGCTTTAGAGCAGCTGCAATACCATTTGTCGACACAATGTAAAGTTTCTTAAGGATCGGCAATTAGAAAGCACCTTTTGCAGGAAACACTTAATTTAGTGTATTTTGTTAGTCATTTCATTTATTTTCTAAACAGGGTAATTGCCTAGTGGGGAGCCATTTCTCTGAGCACTGGAGTGGACTACTTGTTTGCACCCTTCTGAATCCCCCCACGCAGACACTGATTAGAGGATTTCTACATTCTGCACCACTCTTAGTTCTTAACCAGCAGCAGCTTTAATAGAAGGGAACAATGCAATTCTGGGGATAGAGGTCTCAGCAACAGGTGCTGTGAAGTCATTGGCCATTTAACTAATACTGCTCTCACTGATACAGCTGAAAACCACTTTATACTGTTTTTAAGCTTTCTCGTATCTATTGTGTAGTACATCTTAAGAGTTAAAAAAGAAGTGTTTTACATTACAGTTCCAAATAGCCCTATGGTAGATCTTATATTTTATGGAGCTTTAAGTTCTTTTATTAAGTCAATCCTAATATTGTTATAGGCCATTACTAGTAGTAGTAGAAGAAAAACAATGGTGATGAAAGATCCATAAATATCCACATTTTAACATTTCATTTGCTAAAGGGTCTGTTTCTGCTGATTTTGTGTCATGATATTATTTCATATTTACAAAGTGATAAATTAGAATCTGTCATTTAAAGGAAAAGAAAAGGAGATTTTAAGGTTAAATGTAAATGTTGTTATTCCAGAAGCACATGTATACTCATAAAAAGCAGAAACAGTGCATATTTAAAGCTGGAAGCAAATACTGCAAACACTGATTTATGGAACTGTTATTTCACCAGGAGTCTAATTTGGGATTATCTGGTAAAACTCCTGCAGATGATGACTGAAGCTTTGTCTGATAGGAGTGGAAGAACATATGAACAAGACGTTCCTGTAGTTTCAGGGATATAGTGTTATCTGGAAGGACAGTAGTGCTATTTCTTGCCATCCTGCTTCAGTGATTTGGCTCTGGCCATCTCTGTGGAAAACAAAGAACTGCATGCAGAGTTATGGCTGATTCAGCCCTTTTAGTGAAGTTTTTACAAGAATCTTCTACCTTTACTCACGCAAACTAAGCAGGGATTAATTCTCCTGTATCACTGCTGCAGGCTGTGAAGATGCAATATGACACAGACTGCTTTGACATAAGCAATTAACGTGCAAGGGCTGGGTTGATAGAACAGGTTCTGTTGTTTTGCACATGTCATTGGTCTTTCTGTCTTTCTTTCGTTATCTTAAGCTGCCACTTTTGTCAAAAAATAAGAAATGGCACAATTTGACAAATTGTGCAACGTCATTGGTTTAGAAATAAATGGATCCCCAGAGAGAAATTCTGATCCAGTAAGGCTGTGTGCTCAGCCTTAATATTTTGACACATTCTTTCTAAAGCAAAATAACCAAGTGAGCAAAAGGTATTTTAAAAATAAATGTTAATTTCACAGATTTAAAAAGTTACCGCTTCAAAATAAATACAATGAAAGCTTTGCTTCTCAAATATTATTT